GAGATTAAATTCGTGTGCAGCTTCCACGCCTTCATCTCCTGGGTGCCTCCTGAAGGGGGTTTACGGGTGCCAGGTATGGCACCACCATGATGGGTGAGAGGTAGCGGGTCCTGCCATCACCTGTCACAGGTGTGTCATCTGTGACAGGTGATTTACTTACGAGCAGGTGATCCAGGCAGGTCAAAAATACACCCAACAGGTAAAATACATCAGACAGGAAAAATACATCCAACAGGCAAGAAATATGCAGTGTATTTTGTGTGTGTGTGTGTGTGTGTGTGTGTGTGTGTGTGTGTGTGTGTGTGTGTGTGTGTGTGTGTGTGTGTGTGTGTGTGTGTGTGTGTGTGTATTCACCTAGTTGTATTCACCTAGTTGAGCTTGCGAGGGTTGAGCCCTGCTCTTTCGGCCCGCCTCTCAACTGTCAACCAATCAACAGTTACTAACTACTAATATTTTTTTTTCTCCCACACACACACACACACACACACACACACTCACACACACACACACACACACACACACACACACACACACACACACACACACCACCAACACCAGGCTCACCAGGAATGAGCTCATTTGGTTAACGACTCGACTACCAGGTCGCTGAGGGGCTTTTGCAATTTTTTGGGAAAGAGGTGGGCGGGAGAGAGAGGTTAAGTTATGCTTGCGCTTGTGTGTTGAGGGTGACGTAGGAGCCGGTGGCACGGGAGGCAGGACGCCGTTCCCACCACGCCTGCACCCATCTCCCTCACGCGGTGGTGGGCAAGCGGGTAGGCAGGAGGGAGGAAAGGGAGAGGGGTGGGGACAGGTAGTGGGAAGGGAGGCAAGCAGGCTGAAGGAAGGGGGGGGGCAAGCAAGCAGGCTGAAGGAAGGGGGGGGGCAAGCAAGCAGGCTGAAGGAAGGGGGGCAAGCAAGCAGGCTGAAGGAAGGGGGGGGGGCAAGCAAGCAGGCTGAAGGAAGGGGGGGCAAGCAAGCAGGCTGAAGGAAGGGGGGGGGCAAGCAAGCAGGCTGAAGGAAGGGGGCAAGCAAGCAGGCTGGAGAAAGGCAAGCAGGCAGCCAAAAAAGCAACAGTTTCGTGTCCTCATCACTGACATAAAAAAAAAACAGCCCCATTGGAGGATGCATCAAATTCAAAACACATAAACAACCCCTTCTAATGGGCAACGGAAAACAGTATGCCGTTCACCGGTAACTAAACTCCCATTACTTTGAAACGCGAAGATAAAATTTGAAACAGGATTAAAAACAACGCCAGATCTCTTCATAGAGAGGAGCGACTTTGAATTAATAATACCAAAACAACATTCAGAGAGAACAAATAAAGGCAACATCACGACAAAAGAAAATTAAAAAAAAAGTGGATATTGAAAACATTCAAAACAAACATTCAAAACATGGTACTCTTCAAAGTACTGGTTCCAATCTCGTATGGAACGTGGTTCACTCCTAACATTCCCTTACAAGAAAGTCGAAATTGTCGAGTTGAAAACTATACTGAGATAATTTCATTCTCCCATAGAACCCGTTAAGTATTTTAACCACCGGGACAACCTCACGGCACTCAAACTATACACAATACTATAATATATAGATAGATATACTAGAAGGTCAGGTTCCAAAAGTGCAAAATATAATTACATCACACTGGTATATATCAAGATATATCCACTTATATCAATAAAAGTTGAGGAATCACCCACGGGATTAGGGAACCCACAGGCGGGATTAGAGGACCCCACAGGCAGGATTAGAGGATCCAGAGGCGGGATTAGATGAACCACAGACACGATTAGAAAAACAGTGTGTAACCATCAGAGAGCCGGGCCTTTCAAACAAAAAAAGTATATTGGAAATATGACTCAATAAACTGGAAACTCTCGTATTAAATACGCTGAGAAAATAGGAAGGAAGAGCCAGACAAAATGAAAAGGAAAGGAGGCAACAGAGAAGCGAAAATGTCAAAAAAGGATGAGAGGGATCAGGGAGAAAGCGCTAATCTATTACGACTATGTATATAGCACTTGAAAGGGGTCAGGATAAGGATTTAGGATGGGATGGGACGGGGGGGAATGGAATGGTGTCCAACCACTTGGACGGTCGGGGATTGAACGCCGACCTGCATAATACAGCTATCTGGACACCAGGCCAGGTAGGGAAAAGTTGTATGCCAGATAACAAAATAGAGAATAGCCTTAACAATCTACCAAACCCAATAGCAAACATTCATGACAATATAGCTGGAAATCTATGTAACATTATAGCAGGAAATCTATGTAACATTATAGCAGGAAATCTATGTAACATTATAGCAGAAAATCTATGTAACATTATAGCAGGAAATCTATGTGCTATTATAACAGGACATCTATGTGGAAATAACCAATCGCAGGTCAGAGAACTACTTAGATTACGTGACAAATTTTCGCTCAACCAGCAGATGACAGAGCCAACTAGGGCCGAAAATATTTTAGAGCTCATGTCATTGAAGATATTGATTTAGAACATTACAATCTCAGATATCAAGTTCTCAGGCCAAGCTCAATGAAATACAAGATAACAAACATCAGGATACTATAGGACAACTAAAAATAATTGATCATGCGTGAGGGGTTTATTCAATAAATTAAATTTTGTCAATAAAACTATAAACTAGGGGGAGAAAAATGGAACTTACAAACATTCAATGGGAAATTGAGGACAAAAGACTGGACAAAAAGGGGCAAAAAGACTAGACAAAAATTGAGGACAAAAGACTAAAGACTGGATTTCTAAGTAATATTTCTAAGTAACATAAATAACAAGATATCTAAGTAATAAGATATCTAAGTAATATAAGTATTTATTTCGATCGTGAGTCCGATTTGGTAGTTTGCAATACGAGGGAGAAAGGATTTCCTGATATACCACGAGCTTAACATGCGAATTTATTGACTAAATTAGAACACAAAACGAATATATATATATACACACCTGGAAATGGGGATAATTGTCTCTACTTTCAGATGTAGATAGTACGTAGATAGGCAAATCTACGCACGCGTAGCGTATCTGTGCGTAGATAGGCAAATCTACGCACGCGTAGCGTATCTGTGCGTAGATAGGCAAATCTACGCACGCGTAGCGTATCTGTGCGTAGATAGGCAAATCTACGCACGCGTAGCGTATCTGTGCGTAGATAGGCAAATCTACGCACAGTATTGTCTCTTGCCGACGATACCTAGGTGACATAACTCAACCTAACTTAACGTTGTTAATATGTTGTTGTAGTTTAAGATTCGCCACCTGGAACAAAAAGTTCCAAGTAGCACGGGCTATGGCGAGCCCGTAGTTATGTTAATATGAATACCTCGAGCAATTCTAAAAAAACCACTGCCATATGCAAGGGACAATTTGGAGCTCAAAGTGATGCTGGGGAAATTATTTGCGTGGACATAACAAAACTAACGCGTTGTAAGTACATTCAAATTGTTACGGAGTATTGCTGGAACACAAGTTAAAAAAAAAACTGGACAGTTTTCTGCAAGAAGTGCTGGATCAACTGGGCTGTAGTGGAGATGTGGGCGTGTGGGTCGCTCAAACCCAACTGGTCCTCTTACGAAGAACGTCGCATTTCGATCGTATGCGTTACATAAGGCCAGAAACTGTCGTACGAGAAAAATGGAAGCGGCTGGCGAAAGTGACGTACTGTCCCGTTTTCTGTTTTGGGTCCTCTGGTAGGTTAGAACAGGACACTTTAAATTGACCGTTTTCTTGACGTTGGAAATCCTTACGAGGACGGGCTGATCAAACAGCCTGTTGGACTAAGCTCTGACAAGACAAGCCTGGCAGGCGATGAGTCACAATAACGTGGCTAAAGTATGTTGACCAGACCACACACTAGAAGGTGAAGGGACGACGACGTTTCGGTCCGTCCTGGACCATTCTCAAGTCGACTGAGAATGGTCCAGGACGGACCGAAACGTCGTCGTCCCTTCACCTTCTAGTGTGTGGTCTGGTCAACAAGCAAGAACCACCCAAAACACCATCCACGTACAATCCAGGAAATAATGAATTAAAAAAGCAAGCACATGAGACATTACCGAGGGAGAAGACAGGCATGACACCCCCAAACACAACACACACACACACACACACACACACACACACACACACACACACACACACACACACACACACACACACACACTTTGTGTTCAATACTCAGTAATCAACAAGAAAGCCAACAATGTAATACAAGTCTCACTGTTGCAGGTTGCACAGCTGCCGTCAGAGACGAAAGCACTGACAGTAAACATAGCAGAAAATACAATCATTTGCAGACACAATAGCAACAGTCTACTTGAATTGAGAAAAAAGCGATGCAGTATAAACGCATTAAATATTATACTCTCGTCGTTTTTCAAACAATTATACCAACGAATTATTGACGATAGATGACTAACAACAAACAATAAAAAAGGAGAGACCACATAGGCTAATAATATAATTAAAATTAATTAAATAATTATGAATAAGTATTAGGCTGGCGTTGACGCAAATTAGGCTACGCTCCGGTACGTAAATTTCAGGTTTGGGCAAACAGTTAATTTTTTTATGGATAATCAAATAGTTTGAACGTGATGGTCTTCGGCACCTTTAACGGTTTCTGTACAATCTGTGATCATGCTTAAGGCACCGTTATCTTGATGCTATCTACCACGACGTCTAAAAACTCCAATGCTTCAGGGAAATTAGAAGCTCGTACCTTCCCAATTCGTTATCGTAGGTCTGTGTGTGTCTGAATTTAAACTTACGCAGTTTGTAATCCAATTGGTTCGCATCCTAACAGTTTAGAAGCCCCAAAGGGACTAACTAACACGGGTTGTTCTAGTGACTATTGTTACGTTGTGGTTTGAAAATGTGAATTCAGTTGGTTTGAATTACTGCAACACAATTTTGAATTACTGAAACTGTTTGTACTCACCAGTGTTAGTTCCTTGTGAGTCTGCAACACTTACCTCAGAAACACCACGCCCTTCGTCGGAACAGTCTTGGTGCCCCCGGACATATCTGAAACAGACTTACTATCAGCCTGGTGTAAGTTATCTGGGAGCTTGATGCACTTACCTGGACATCCTATATAGCCTGCAAGAGCTACAAACAGGACAACATTTTAGACAGGACAACATTTTAAACAGGACAACATTTTAAACAACATATTAAACAGGACAACATTTTAAACAGGACAACATTTTAAACAGGACAACATTTTAAACAGGACAACATTTTAAACAGGACAACATTTTAAACAGGACAACATTTTAAACAGGACAACATATTAAACAGGACAACATTTTAAACAGGACAACATATTAAACAGGACAACATTTTAAACAGGACAACATTTTAAGCAGGACAACATTTTAAACAGGACAACATTTTAAACAGGACAACATTTTAAACAGGACAACATTTTAAACAGGACAACATTTTAAACAGGACAACATTTTAAACAGGACAACATTTTAAACAGGACAACATTTTAAACAGGACAACATTTTAAACAGGACAACATTTTAAACATGACAACATTTTAAACATGACAACATTTTAAACATGACAACATTTTAAACAGGACAACATTTTAAACAGGACAACATTTTGCGTCATCATTTAGCTGCAAAAATGATTAAATTCGACGTAGAATTGTTACTCTTGGATAGTATGCCTTGTGGGTATATTTTTATCTAGCAAGTTTATACCCACTCAAAATCCTAAACATATTTTTTTATATTTGGCCTATAAGCAGTATAGTAAATCTTAAAGTATATATTGGTTAAGTCTTTACTCTTAAAACAGGTTTGTTTTCCTTGTCGTCTTTGTGTCAACTAGCTACATCAACTTTCAACCCTTATCAAATCAACCCTCCTAATAGAACGTCGCATTTTGACGTATTACTCTAAGGCCAAAAAATTGTCGTACTAGAACATGGTAGCGGCTCCTAAAAATTTTGACACACTATCCCGTTTTCTGTTTTTGGGTCCCCTTCTGGTAGGTTAGGACAAAGGGCACTTTAGTACGACAGTTTCTTGACGTTGGGGAACCTTAGGAGGACGGGTTGGGCAAATATAAACATCGACGCTACACTCTGACGCGTCTCCCAACATCATCACTGAGGAGAAAACCTCTGAGTACTTCACGAACCATAAGGAAGAAGAGTAAGTGATAGTCGTGAGTACTGCACTCGCGTGTTCCAGCAGACACCTGGAGGGTGTTCCAGCAGACACCTGGAGGGTGTTCCAGCAGACACCTGGAGGTTGTTCCAGCAGACAACTGGAGGGTGTTCCAGCAGACACCTGGAGGGTGTTCCAGCAGACACATGGAGGGTATTCCAGCAGACAACTGGAGGGTGTTCCAGCAGACACCTGGAGGTTGTTCCAGCAGACACATGGAGGGTGTTCCAGCAGACACCTGGAGGTTGTTCCAGCAGAGACCTGGAGGTTGTTCCAGCAGACAACTGGAGGGTGTTCCATCAGACACCTAGAGGGTGTTCCAGCAGACACCTGGAGGTTGTTCCAGCAGACACCTGGAGGGTGTTCCAGCAGACACCTGGAGGGTGTTCCAGCAGACACCTGGAGGTTGTTCCAGCAGACACCTGGAGGGTGTTCCAGCAGACACCTGGAGGGTGTTCCAGCAGACACCTGGAGGGTGTTCCAGCAGACACCTGGAGGGTGTTCCAGCAGACACCTGGAGGTTGTTCCAGCAGATAACTGGAAGGTTGTTCCAGCAGACACCTGGAGGGTGTTCCAGCAGATAACTGGAAGGTTGTTCCAGCAGACACCTGGAGGGTGTTCCAGCAGACACCGGGAGGGTGTTCCAGCAGATAACTGGAAGGTTGTTCCAGCAGACACCTGGAGGGTGTTCCAGCAGATAACTGGAAGGTTGTTCCAGCAGACACATGGATGGTGCAATAAGACAACAATAGTAGGCTACAATGTTTCTTACAACAATGAATGGACATTCTTACAGAATAGCAAGTAGCATCTTCGACAAGTAAACAACAATACATAGTACAATACATACATATACATTCTACAATGTATAATGAGACGTATCTTAATGCCTTTAGGTAATATTGATAAAGTAAGGGAAAAAGGTGATGATATTTAGCCTAAAAGTTGCAAAAAGATTGCCTGATGCCTAAACCACAGACCAGAAGATCAGGTGACGACGACGTTTCGGTCCATCCTGTCTTGAGAATGGTCCAAGGACGGAGCGAAACGTCTTCGTCCCTTCACATTCTAGTGTGTGGTCTGGTCATCACTTAAGGGTATTATCCCATGGGCATCTCTGGCTTGCACTTCATGCAACTTTTTCTTTTTATAATTATTTTCTACCACAGACGTGGCCAGACATTTACAATGCTAACCAGCATATATACATTTTCTTCTGTCCTCCATGGACAGGGTTAGAGATGTGTTAAACATATAGTTCAGGGATTTATTGAACAATCAACCACAGACGGTGATTCGGTGCTTTTAAAATGCTAAGCTAACCTACATACGTAAATACATAGATACACAAATTTACGTATGCCCTACATAAAGTGTTCGAAGCGTCATTAAATGTGCATTTACAAAGGTGAAATGCAATTCTGATCAGCTTCCATATGTACTTTATGCACATACATATACACACACACACACATATACGTACATATACATATATATATATATATACATACGTATATACACACATGCATTCACATACATTTGTCTCTTTTACTCTGACAGGGTGAGATAGCTGACAGAGAAACTAGTGTGCAATTAAGCACTTAATCACTGAAGGTGATTTTGCATAACTCATAGCAGTAAATGACCTTTTCCGATATTAATTTCAAACTGGTGAGCTTGCGTTGTGTTTTAAATTCAACATAAGCAACCAACAGAGAGAATAATTCCCAAACACAGTGGATTTTACATTTTAACTTGAATTACACAAAAAAATATCTACAGAAAATCACGTGCTTATTCTTGTATGATATAAACTACTACTGCATTAGGGGGAAATATACAGGGAATGTGTATTGTACTGTAAAGAATACAATACGAGCCTTAATACGTTGAATATGGGCCAGAATGATTGCAAAATCCTCAGTAGGTGTGAATTTTGTATTTGCAATTATAAAAATGATTGTAATTTAAAGGTATGACCTTACCTGACAGCCTGGTTGATCAGTCCGGCAACCAGGAGGCCTGGTCGACGACCGGGCCGCGGGGACGCTAAGCCCCGGAAGCACCTCAAGGTAACCTCAAGGTAACCTATGACATCCTCAGACACTAAACAGTATAACGGCCTAATATATCAAGTTTCAGTAAAAAAAAAATGGTATTAGTCAAAGAAGTGCGATGTTTGGATATAGCATGATACTGCCTTTATTTAGCAGAATTGCTGCGTTCATGGAGTAAACCTTTTTTTTAACATGCACAACGCGAGCCTAACTTAAGCTGGAGTAACTTAACGTAACTTAAACACGAACATATCCGTCAAAGAACATCACAGACACACTTTAGTGTGAAATCTTGATGAACAATCTTGGGCGCCTGACAGCTTAGTAGACAGCGCTTCGGATTCGTAGTCCTGAGGTTCCCGGTTCGATCCCCGGTGGAAGCGCGGAGACAAATTGGGCAAAATGTTTCTTTCACCCAAATGCCCCTGTTCATCTAGCAGTAAATAGGTACCTGGGAGTTAGACAGCTGCTACGGGCTGCTTCCTGGGGGATGTGTAACAAAAAGAAGGCCTGGTCGAGGACCGGGCCGCGGGGACGCTAAGCCCCGAAATCATCTCGGGATAACCACATTGAACATTAATATGAAGGTCATGATCTACACTTATTAGAACAAATAACTTCTAATAGGTCGTGAGAGCATTTCGTAGGCAAAAAAAAAAAACTCACGAACAATTGAAGATTTGCAGGCGTAGCCTCATGTGGGTGAGGCTAGGGATAGGGGTGTATAGGGAGGGGTTAGAGCACGAGGAGGAGGATCGGGGGCGTATGGGATGGTGTAGGATAGAGAGAGGGGGTTGAGATAAAAGGGTTAGAATTGGAGAAGATATGGGGCAAAGAAATGGAAAAGAATAAGGATGGAGGACAGCGAAGCGAAGGGATAGCGAAGGAAAAGGATGGTTTAGAGACAGAGAGAGAGAGGGACGGGTGGGGTGGTAGTAAGGATGATAGACGGAGCTGGCCAGCCCCCTGTAGGGCCGCCATTACCTAAGGGCTCATTCAGCCAGGTGGAGGGAGGCGACGGGGGGTAGGATGGGACGATCAAAACACTACCCTGGGGGGTAGAGATAACACTCCGCTCAGGTCTGATGGATGGCACTAAATAAACGGAGAAAGAAGACTTATCACCCCCCTTTAATCCCCGGATCTCAGGAGGAGGAGGCTGGTAGGCGGCCGCACTCTTGTCAACATCTGAAAATGGTCTTGCAGATGTTGATGGGTTGTCCTGCATGCTAATGGTTCACTACGATGATAAATGGGTACAAATTGTGGCTAAATGGGGTGTTATAATGACACGAATGGTATATGACACGAATGGTATACGACACGAATGGTATATGACACGAATGGTATATGACACGAATGATATATGACACGAATGAGATATATATATATATATATATATATATATATATATATATATATATATATATATATATATATATATATGTTGTACCTAGTAGCCAGAACGCACTTCTCGGCCTACTATGCAAGGCCCGATTTGCCTAATAAGCCAAGTTTTCCTGAATTAATATATTTTCTCTAATTTTTTTCTTATGAAATGATAAAGCTACCCATTTCATTATGTATGGAGTCAATTTTTTTTTTATTGGAGTTAAAATTAACGTAGATATATGACCGAACCTAACCAACCCTACCTAACCTAACCTAACCTAACCTATCTTTATAGGTTAGGTTAGGTAGCCGAAAAAGTTAGGTTAGGTTAGGTTAGGTTAGGTAGTCCAAGAACAATTAATTCATGAAAACTTGGCTTATTAGGCAAATCGGGCCTTGCATAGTAGGCATAGAAGTGCGTTCTGGCTACTAGGTACGACATATATATATATATATATATATATATATATATATATATATATATATATATATATATATATATATATATATATATAGGTCGTAGGTGAATTTAAGTTTGATTTTTTTGAGGGATTCACACACACACCTCTGAATTTTGGATGACGGATAAAAATCGTCAAGTAATATTATATTCATGGGAAATTCTTTAGAGTTGGACGGGGCTCGAACCGGCACCCAGATGCGCACCCTGGACGATGGTTCGAGTCCCGTCCTGCTCAGATGATTTTATAATAGATATATCAAGTTATTGAGCTTTTGTTGCGTATAATCTTCATTATAGAGACTCTATGAGCCGATCAGGGTTCGAATCTCCGTTACCAGAGATCACCCCCCCCCCCTGGTGTTCAGAGTACCATAACCACTTAACTTCATTGGTGCAGTAATTAGTGTGATGATTCGTGCAGTGATTAGTGCTATGAATAACGTGATTAGCGATGTGATCAGTATGGGCGATTAGTGCCATGATTAGCACAAGTGATTAGTGCGGTTATTAGCATAGTGATTAGTGCAGTGATTAGTGAAGTAATTAGTGCTGTGGTGTTGTGCAATGATTAGTGCTGTGAATAGCAATTAATCACCGCACTAATCAGTACACAAGTCGAAGGATTACACAGTCGATTAATCCATTAAAAATGTGATGTATTTGTAAACATTAAGGCAACGAAATATTGAGATTTTTTTACGCTTCTAGTAAGGTAAAACTTGTTCTTTTTTGTTTACGTTTTTGATTAGGCAAAACAGCTGTATTTTTTACGTTTATGCTTATGCTTTTTACGCTGCATGTTTACAGAGAATCAAATCTAGAAGAAAGACCACGAAGTCTGGTCTGGTCGTACTGATCTTAGATCTGATTCTTCAACGTGCTTCTGTTCCTCCTTTTGCAGCTATATTATATATATATATATATATATATATATATATATATATATATATATATATATATATATATATATATATATATATATATATATATATATATGTGTGTGTGTGTGTGTGTGTGTGTGTGTGTGTGTGTGTGTGTGTGTGTGTGTGTATTGTTGGATAGTGTTATGTGTAACTCACCACACTGTAACTCATCACACTATGAGTAACTCACCACACTATGTGTAACTCACCACACTATGTGTAACTCACCACACTATGTGTAACTCCTATAATTGGCAACATTCATCATTTAAAAAAAATGCTCCTATTTAAACCACCATACGCGAGCCCAAGCGTATGGCAACCCCAGGTCACTATTCTCCAGCCTTTCAATTGCTTTCTTTATTATGCACCCCATACCCATCCCGTGGGCGGTGGTGGGAAAGGGGTTACAGAGGCACATAATGGGTTCAGAAATCGAACTCCAGAGTTCGTTTAGCTAAGCTAGTGACCATCTTGTGAAGCTAGTTACACAATTGTTATCCAATCCAAGCCGCCATACATCCGTTCAACCCCCCTCCCCCCCCCCCCCCCCGTGCAAGAATCAAACTACCGTTCGCCAGTCCAAACCACAGCATCTTCGGCTAACAACTAGGGTTTTGTGATTTTAAACTAAGATCATAAAATTTCTACTGGATTTTTAATCGACGGTAAAATTCCACGCACACTGTCTAGCCGAAATGTCTGAAATGTCACTTTTAACAGCCAGTTCCGTGAACCATACATCAATTTAACTTTTTATAATAATCAAGAAACCTGCCAGCCGTAAGATGTCTGGAGTGGTCATCTTGGAGGAGGCAAGAGTGGACCCAAGGAGAATATTCTGCTCCCACTGGGATCTTGCTATTAGGAGAGTTAAGGTAGTCATCAAAACCATTTATGTTTACGGGCGAGTGGAAGATGCTCTCTTTCAGTCGCCTTGAGTAATGGAATGAGGACACGACATGAACCTGTAAACTGGCGGTATTAAGGAGTCAGATAGTCCATTAATGGCTGGGAGTGTGGGCGCACGAGTAATGGATCGTCCGATATGTCGTAATGTTCACACCGGGAGGTTGTCGCACCCCGCGGCTCTCCTTCCCACACACCACCAAGAAGGGGCCCTCACGAGACGGGGCCCTCACAGTCTGGGGGGCCTCACAGTCTGGGGGCCCCTCACAGTCTGGCTATATAGAGCTGGCGCGGCCCTCAGCGCCTCCTCCTCACCCTAATACTGGCCAGGGATGAACCCCAACACATTCCGAGATTAATGAGCCAGTTGTCCATTTGTCTCTATATTATGAGGAGTTTTTACAAGATTGGGTGTGTGGGTGTTGGGGGCCCAGTCGCCAGCACAGCCCCGCTCCTGTGCCAGGTAAGTCCACTACGGGCTCACCATGGCCCGTGCTACTTGGAACTTTTGTTCTGAGTAGCTGAATCTTAAACAACAACAACAGTAGCAGTCGCTAGCTACGTCTGGGCCTGCGCTAGCTGCCTGGTCGATTTACGTGTTTTAAACGTGAATGGAGCAGGACAGGAAATTACATTGTCATAACTGTGTTCATTATCAATTTGAGCGTTTGTGATGGAACTTATATTTGCTTTTGAGTTGCCATAACTATATGGCTCTAAAGTTAGTGTGATGAAGTTTGTAGAATTTTTCATGGAAAGTTTCTTTCATTATAGTTGGCTTTTAAAATGGTGGCTTTTATACCGAAGCTTCGACCCTTGGGTGGTGTCGACAGGAATTGTGAATCTCGAAATGAGCACCCGACACACTGCTGCCTATCCCAAGATGAGCACAGAGCACCCAACACACTGCTGCCTACCCAAAGATAAACACAGAGCACCAAACATACTTCTTCCTATCCCAAGATGATCACAGAGCACCAAACACACTGCTGCCTATCCCAAGATGATCACAGAGCACCCGACACACTGCTGCCTATCCCAAGATGAGCACAGAACACCCAACACACTACCTCCTACACTCACCGAGGGCCGTACTGCCCGCTCTTAATAAATAGACGATAACAAATCATTTTTACCATTAAGGAGAGTTTCTCATCACATGCGACCGTCGCCTTATGGAACAAATCTCTATATAAACTCCTTCTTATAAGACTCTTAAAGGCGCACCTTATAACTACGGAAGATACGCAAGACTTATCGGTACACTACAGACGCTCCACGAATGCGCAATCAGCCTGGCGGGAACACAGCTAATAGATCTTACAATGTATTTAAGACAAAAGAAACAGACGAGCATCATCATCATCACAGCCCAGACGAGAAGTGAGAAATCTCAACGGGGGGTCGAACCCTCCTTCAGGGCAATGGTAGATCTTAGTTAGAAATGGATGCGGGATCTCGCGTGAGCTGTCCCATCATTACTCGGTTCTTCGACCCTGGCTGGGATCAGCCGCGACGTCTGCATCGTTTGTAAAAATTAACACAGATTATTAGGACTGAATTCACTATAGAACGCGTCCAGGATAAGATGACAAAGTTAAGTCTCACAAATCAGAAATCTCCCATATGAGGAGAGATGAGAAAAGCTTAATTTGCATTCACTTGAAAGGCGAAGTGTTAGGGAAGGGGGGGGGGGTGACATGAATGAAGTGTTTAAGTGTATGAATGAAGTGTTTAAGTGTATGAATGAAGTATTTAAGTGTATGAATGGTCATAACAATGAAGCTATTACAAATTCTTATTAGAGCTGAAAATAACATGAAAATGTAGGAACTTGCATGGATATATTTTCATGTTCATGCGCGGTCTTTACAAAGGAACCAATATGGAGATATCAGAGCCGAGTGATGAAAGGCTAGAGGAAACACTGGATGACATAGTATAATTATGGAAGAGGTCATTAAATTCCTGATTTATGTTAATGATCTACCCGAGGGAGTGAACTCGTACATGGCAATGTTTGCGGACGATGCTAAAATAATGAGGAATGTAAAACCAGAGGATGACTGCAGAATGTTACGGAATGACATTAACAAACTCCAGGAGTGGACAAACAAATGGTTGCTGGAGATCAATCCTACTGAGTGTAAGATGATGAACATGGGGATAGGAGAACGAAGACTACAATGTGTTTGCACCATTAATGGATGGCATTTGAAAGAATCTGAGAGAGATTTATGGAGGGATATAATTCCCTCCATAACACCAGAGGCACACATAGGCAGGGTAACATCAGCAGCACATGAGACGCTGCCAAACATTAGCACGTCGTTTAGAAACCTAAATCAGGACGTGTTCAAAGCAATCTATACAACTTTTGTTAGACCAGAACTAGAATATGCAACACCGGCCTGGAATCCTTACCTTGTGAAACATAAAACTCAAATCGAAAAAGTGCAGAGGTTTGCTATTGGATGAGTGCCATAGCTCAGAGGGTTAAGTTATGAGGTCAGGCTGAAGGAACTGGATCTCACAACCATGGAGGGCAAAAGAAATAGAGGAGATATGATACCAACGTACAAGATACTGAGGGCAATAGACAAGATGCACAAAGAGGACTTAAAGAAGAAGCTGGAATCGCAGATGAGTCGAAGGAATGTAAGGAAATACTGGTACCCTGTGCGGGGGGTGATCAAGTGGAATGCACTGAGGGAAGAAGTTGTGGAAGCCACCTACAGCCACAACTTTAAGGAAAGGTGCGATAAAGATATTGTTAGACCAGACCACACACTAGAAGTTGAAGGGACGACGACGTTTCGGTCCGTCCTGGACCATTCTCAAGTCGATTGAGAATGGTCCAGGACGGACCGAAACGTCGTCGTTCCTTCAACTTCTAGTGTGTGGTCTGGTCAACATACTTCAGCCACGTTATTGTGACTCATCGCCTGCAAGATATTGTTAGACTTATGACGCCTTAACGGAATAGGTGCCAACAAGACTAGTAGGCGGAGCATAAGAGCAAGCCCTCACTTCCCCGTAGTCGCTGACAGGTAATTACTGGATGGTAGAGCGACGGTCTCGCTTCTTGCAGGTCGGCGTTCAATCCCCGACCCTCCAAGTGGCTGTGAGCACCATTCCCTCCCTCCGACCTATCCCAAATCCTTATCATTTTTTCCAAGTGCAATTTACATTGTAAATTGTTTACCTTAAGAGTATCATCATAACATTTGTAATATCTGTAATTACACGGTATACTCAAGATACTCAATTATACTTAGTATACTTTGATTTAGATTATACTTATATATATATATATATATATATATATATATATATATATATATATATATATATATATCACTAAGAACTCTTTGACCCGGCCAGGATTCGAACCCATGCCGTCCAGGATCACCCCTAAACGTACACAGTACCGTGACCACCGCACCAATGATCGTCTATAAGGATTGGTCAGTCTTGGCGCTTATTAACTAAGCTCCCTGACTGACCAACCCCCGACGACACTCATGGATCCATTTGGGTACAGTTTTTCATCAAATTCTGGCGCATGCACGGGCCGCACTGAGTCTAACATGTGTGAGAAAGCTGCATGAACGCGCAAGCCATATATCACTAAGAACTCTTTGACCCGGCCAGGATATGGCTTGCGCGTTCATGCAGCTTTCTCACATATATATATATATATATATATATATATATATATATATATATATATATATATATATATATATATATATATATATGCAATTGACGATCACAAAACACTGATCATTTTATGCGGAAAATCCACAGAGAAATATGAAATGAGGTGAACGTTTCGGCTTTGTTCGGCTTCGGCTTCGACAAAGCCGAAACGTTCACCTCATTTCATATTTCTCTGTGGATTTTCCATATATATATATATATATATATATATATATATATATATATATATATATATATATATATATATATATATATATATATATATATATATATAATATATATATATATATATATATATATATATTCGGTTTCGGCTTCGACAAAGCCGAAACGTTCACCTCATTTCATATTTCTCTGTGGATTTTCCATATATATATATATATATATATATATATATATATATATATATATATATATATATATATATATATATATATATAGTTATATACTTAGTATATACTACATATATACTATATAGTATATACAACTATATAAAGTAGTATATATCTAGTATACTTAGATTTAAAAACTACAAGTATCAGTTATGCAAAGAATCAACATTCATTACACACAGAAATCACAATTGCGTGATGCATCGAATGAACAAATCCACAAGGGCCGTGCCGGGGATTCGAACCTGCGTCCGAGAGCATCCCAGACGCTGCCTTAATCGACTGAGCTACGACATGTAAGGCAGCGTCTGGGATGCTCTCGGACGCAGGTTCGAATCCTCGTCACGGCCCTTGTGGATTTGTTCGATCAATATTCATCCAAGCCGGAGACGACGGGGGAGGGGGGGGGTGGAGATATACTTTTCACATCCTTACTATAGCTTCGACGCCATTAATACGGTGTGAAGATGGAGAGTATGTCTGCTGGCGCCTCGAGAGACGCAGACCAATACTTTCAAAGATGTAGTGGATGTCTGCAGGATGCTTGGAGGGGCGGGAGATGAGTGTCGACCCTTCTCATCTTTTGATCTAAGATCAATCCTGTGAAAGATGCTGGAGTGTGGTGGGTGGTGGTGGTGGTGGGTGGTGGTGGTGGTGGGTGGTGGTGGTTGGTGGTGGTTGGTGGTGGTTGGTGGTTGGTGGTGGTTGGTGGTTAGTGGTGGTGGTGGGTGGTGGTGGTGGTGGGTGGTGGTTGGTGGTGGTGGTTGGTGGTGGTTGGTGGTGGTTGGTGGTGGTTGGTGGTGGTTGGTGGTTAGTGGTGGTGGTGGTGGTGGTTAGTGGGTGATGGTTGGTGGTGGTGGTGGGTGGTGGTTGATGGTGGTGGTTAGTGAGTGGTGGTTGTGGTGGTGGTTAGTGGTAGTGGTGGTGGCTCTCAGTGCTGCTGGATCACCATGTGCCATTTAGCGCGGAACGATATGACCAATAAACACGTCTTATACAGAGCACAAAGTTCTTACACAGTTCTCCACCTGTTCTCCAGCTCAACACCAGCACCGCACGCAAATGGTTGACCTGATATTGATGACAAGTTCCTTGAGCAACGAGAGACGTTGCCTTAGCAAGGCTTCCTAATGCCCCCTTGTTGTCATGGATACACTAACACACACCTAACAAAAAAAAAATAAAACCTGCTGTATAAAATAAATCAACTAATCACGAGGGTCACAAAGGATAAACAAAAATATATAAATTAAAGACCTGTGACACAATAATTACCCACCACAAAACACTTTCGGACTCAACAACTGACAGGATCAAAACATCTGTTAACACCTGTGATGGAGATCAGTCTCCTGCAACACATCTCTAAACACCTGTGATGGAGATCAGTCTCCTACAACACATCTCTAAACACCTGTGATGGAGATCAGTCTCCTACAACACATCTCGTGAACACCTGTGATGGAGATCAGTCTCCTACAACACATCTCGTGAACACCTGTGATGGAGATCAGTCTCCTGCAACACATCTCTAAACACCTGTGATGGAGATCAGTCTCCTACAACACATCTCTGAACACCTGTGATGGAGATCAGTCTCCTGCAACACATCTCTAAACACCTGTGATGGAGATCAGTCTCCTACAACACCCACACACACTGCATGAGCACCTTCGACACACAGGAATCAACACAGCTATAGCGACCAGATCAATACGTCTCTCACGGCCCCAGACACCACCTCCTCCGTCAGCTGTAAATGTCATAAACAGCCCCACTCCCGCCCACCCCACGCCCACCCCACGCCCACCCCACGCCCGTAGAGCCTGACTTAGCGTCTCAGTCCATGAAAAGGTCGGCGTGGGAGATCTGTGTGTGTGTGTGTGTGTGTGTGTGTGTGTGTGTGTGTGTGTGTGTGTGTGTGTGTGTGTGTGTGTGTGTGTGTGTGTGTGTGTGTGTGTGTGAGACAGAGTTAAAACTAATCGCTCGTCCATGAAATTACGCTCGACTTCGGCTGCGTTCCAGTCTCATATTTGATGGTATTTGTCTAGGGTAAGAGGAGGGGAGGGAAGGGGAGAGGTAGGGGAAGGGGGAAGGGTAGGGGAAGGGGGAAGGGTAGGGGAAGGGGGAAGGGTAGGGGAAGGGGGAAGGGTAGGGGAAGTGGAAGGGTAAGGCGAAGGGAAGTTCATAGGAGAATCAGAGCACCAAAGGCCGACGCTATAAAGATGAAAAAGTTCCACTATGGATCTGTGGCACCGCTCCTATGCCAGGTAAGTCCACTACGGGCTCACCATAGCCCGTGCTACCTTGGAACTTGTTCCGAGTAACTGAATCTTCAACAACAACACTAAGGATGTACCACTTACGGGCTATTCATGCCCGTGCCACCTCTTGGGTGGGTTAATCTTTA